GGGGGGGGGGGGGGGGGGGGGGGGGGGGGGGGGGGGCGGCATCTGCTTCTGCCTGCTTGCCTGTCTGTGTCGTGAAAGAGAGCCCGCGTGTGATGATGGTGATTCCCCTGTTGCAAGATCGAAGGGTTGATATTTCTTCTTCTTTCTCGGCTTTTTTGGACCTGAAATGGTTTATGGATTTGTGACATTCATTCATTGGGTGGCAGGCTGTGTCAGTCAGTCGTTTCATGCACATGGATGCAATCAATACATGGACACACGTGAGTGAGTGAGTGAGTGAGTGATGCGTACACATGAACGGACAGAGACAAAAAGAAATGTCATTCATGGTTGTGGGCTGGTTGTGGAGACCGCATCGGGTAGTGCTGCCGTCCGTGTGTCGTAGGGTGACACTCGTGTCGAGTACTTGTTGGCTAGGTGGAACCAGTAGGTCTCGAACGACTCGTCCTGGAAGGCCATCCACGGGCCGCTATCTGCCGCTGACCTGAATGAACCACACACATACACACATACACACATACACACACGTGCAGACAGACAGACAGACAGACAGACATAGAGACAGACAGACAGACATAGAGACAGACAAGGACGAGACATGCATCGCATCGTGCTGACTGACCTTGCCCTGTCGATGAGCCGCTGGGCTTCCTCAGGCGCGACAGCGATGCCGCCGCGAAAGACGTTGCCCTCGTTGTCAAGAGTCAAAAACGAATGCGTCCTGTCAGTCAGCACACACAGTGGCAGTGTGGCAGCAAGCAGACAGGGAGACACACCACCATGAAGCTGCACACCTTCTTTTGCCGGTGCAGTGCAGTCTCATGAAGCATTCGGTGCAGAAGAGGTCAAGGCAGTCCTCGCACAGTTTGGTGGCGTTGGCCTCCTCGCACTCCCAACACACCATACCGTTCAGGATCCGCTTCAGGTACTTGCACGCTCCACTACAGGCACATTAATGTGTGAGTGTGTTGGTGTCTCTGGGCATCAGTGGCTCGCTGGCTCGCTGTCTCACGCACTAACCCAGCGGCCTGTGTGGTCTGTGTCTGTGTGTTAGAGTGTGCGGCGTTCCAGCACCGGTCGCAAAAGAAAAGGCCGTCCTGCACACACTCGCACGTCGCCAGCGCCAGGTCGCACACGCTGCACACCAGCTGCTCGACGTCATTCGTCAAATGCAATCGACGCTTCCCTGTTGTGTGTGCCGACACAAGGCTCCCAGTTCATCAAAACGATACATGAGTGGCTGGTTGGCCACTTGCCTGTGGCGTGCAGGGCGTTGAAGCACCCCTGGCAGAAGAAGTCTCTGCACTGCAGGCACTTGTAGACGGCCGCCCGCTGCTCGCACTCGGTGCACACCACAACGCTCTCGGGCTTCTTGAGAATCTCGTGACGGACCTACACGAAACAAAAGCCCTGCGATCAGTGAGTGCCGTCGGTGTCTCTCTTGTCCATGTATACATGTTCGCCCGCGCCTCACTTGTTCCTTTCTGATTTCCCGCAGGAACTCGAGAGGGTCCCTCAGGTCCGAAACGATGGTCTGCAGGTCATACTGCTTCTCGATGTAGGCCTCGAATGTCTACGCCACCATGAGACAATACGAAAAGCTCGTCATCAACAGAGAAAAGCCGGACGTCTGTCGGGGAGTCGCTGACCGCTTTGAGGGCTCTGGCAAGGTAGAATTCTGTGGTTGTGTCGATGTTGCAGATCTTGGCCAGCCGCTCAATCACATCGGGGGTGGACGGGGGCAGATGCTTGTTGACCCGCTCCAGCACAAATGAGGTGATGCTACGCAAATCGCTCTCACGATCCTCTGCAAACAAATAAGAACCATAAAGGGGACGACTGTCTGGATGTTTCCTGTTCTGTTGGTGTGTTGTTGACCTGGTGGGGGTGGCTGGGGCTTGTATGCTCGCTGAAGGAAGGCCTTCTGCTTCTGATACATCTTGGAGAAGCGTTCGATGACAGGATGGACCTTCTGGATCTTCTTGGTCTTGGTGTGATAATACGCCATCTACACAACCATATAATGATGCGAGCGTCTGCGAACCATTGCATAACCCCGCTGGGTCCCACGCGCTTCGTGTGGCCTCACCTGACCTCCTTATCGTCATCCTGGAACTCCTGCCACCCCTCCGGCAGCGACGCAAGGGCGGCCTCCTCCGCAATCCAAAGATACTCGGGCTCAGCAACAGGGTCAATGCCCAGAAGCCTCGCGACCCTCACGATAAGCTCAGAGTTGAGAGATCCGTCCCTTTCGATGTCCAGGGGGAGGGTCATGGGGCCTCCCCCTCTCGCGTAAGTGGGGGAGGGGTCTGGCGAAGGAGCACCGCTCTTCTTGCCCTTCAACTTTGCCGACAGCGTTGCCATGCTGGAGCTCTCTTGCCCGGCGCCTTTAAAACATTGCCCCGCACCCTCGCGGCTTAGCTCGCTGGCCCCCAGCGTGCATGTCATGCAACAGAGCCGGCAGCCGCCTCTGTTAATACGACGATGTACCCACAAGGACTACACCAATGCATACAGTACAGCACACACACACACACACACAAACAGCCATGCACGCATGTGCGTGTAGCCATGTGGGCATTCGGGGTGCCCGCTGGACTATTTGTGCATCTACGAATGAGTAAGTGGGTCTGTCCACGTCTCGTCACTTCTTCTCTCCCCGAACTCCTCTCCTTCCCCATCGTCGGACGGTATCGGACGGTGGCTTGGCCAAGTACTCAGCGCCATCCTCGCCCTTGAAGGGCCTCTCCTTGCCCTTGTTACCTTCAAATCAAGGACACACGCGGGCAGATCTTGGATCACGGGATGTGTGGAAGTACCCCACGACGCTCTTCCCATCCTTGCGCTCATACCTACTCGACAAACAGTGCGTATCGTCAAACACCATGACATGATCTGTGAGGGTAACTTTCCAGCAGCGGACCTCGCAGTACACCACGCGGCGATGGCTACCAACCTGCCGCTTGTGCACGCACCATTCTACACCACGCCGCGATCCTGGCCGGCGGGGTCTGCGAGCTTAGCTCGTGACTTTCCCTCTGGAGTGCATCTAGAGCAGAGGGTTTCATCGTTGATCGCGGATTTTGGTGAGCGATGACGACGCTCAAGGTGCAGGACGGTAGCAACATCTACCGCATCAAGTTTGAAGCACAGGCGGCACCAACGGATGCCCTGAGGCAGCAGGTGCAAGATCTGCTCGGCATCAAGCAGGGCGAAAACTATATCCTGCTGGCGGGAGGCGCAAGGGAGATGGTGAGCTCAGGACAGCGTGTGACTCGTTCACTTTTGCCTGTTGAATCTGCCTGTGTGTGCTGTTGGTGCAGAGTGGCGGGGAGGGTAACGAACTGCTCGACACAGACAGTTCGCTGGAGGAGTACCTGTCGGTGTGCAAGCACCACGGCATCATTCCCAAGGTGAACGTTCTCAGGACCAACACACCGATCCCGCCTGTGCAGACCACTACCACCAGCCGCACCATGACTGTCGTTGGGTACGAGGCGCCCTCGCCCTCCTGCTCAGTGTCGACCAACGAATCGGCCACCTACAGCGGAGATCTGGAGTTCATCCTCAATGGTGAGCGAGCGAATGATTCGTGAGAGGAGGACCACACCCACGCGGACAGACACACACAGAGGAGCGATGAGGGGATGTGGTGTGATGTGATGTGTTTTGTTCAGGTGAGCCGATGGGGCTGAAGAATCCCGACCCTGAGATGACGCTGGTGGAGTATCTGCGGGTGTGCACGAGCTACACGGGGACGAAGCTCTCCTGCGGGCAGGGCGGATGCGGCGCGTGTACTGTCATGGTATCAATGTCGAACAAAGGGATGTATGGACGCTACACATTCTTATGTGTGTTGGGTATCTGTGTTTGTCTGTCTGGTCAGGTGAGTGAGTTCAACACCTCATCGGACACCCTGTCGCACTACTCGGTCAACGCATGCCTCAAGCCACTGTGCTCGATCGTCGGCAAAGCCGGTAAACAGCTGAAAGAAGACACACCTAATGTGTACATGCCGCTGTCCGTCTGGGGGTGCAGTGACGACGACGGAGGGGATGGGGTCAGCTGTGGATGGCTACAACCCGGTCCAGGACCGCATCGCAACTGGCTGGGGCACTCAGTGCGGTTTCTGCACGCCAGGCTTTGTCATGACCACCTGCAGCCTGCTGCAGGAGAAGACACAAACAGGTACGTCTGCAGACGCGTGTGTGCGTGGAAGACAGAGGGGTACATGTGATGTGCTGTGTGGGCGTGTCGATTGGATTGCAGGCTGTGCTGTCAAGGCTGAGGAGCTCGAAACGCGCTTCGACGTAAGACAGCAAACAAACTGTCCGGCCTTGTTTCTTCCTACCCTCCTGCATTGCCTGCACTGCCCCTTTTCTTCAGGGCAACTTGTGCCGATGCACAGGCTACCGGCCCATCCTCCAGGCCGTCAAATCGTTCGCCACCGACGCACCCACACCACACACCCAAGTAGAGATCGAGGACGTCTGCCCGCCGGGAAGCCAAGGCCAGACGCCCATCATGTGCCGATCCCGACGGTCTGTGGGGGAGGACAAGGGCCATGGCCACATTGACACAAACGGAAAGGGGCGGGCTGTGCGAGTGGGTGGGATGAAGAAGGCCCACAGCGTTGCGAGAGAGAAGGCGCTGAAGGAGCTCGCCATGAAAGTCGAGGGGCAAGGTCAGTGAGCAGATTGCTTCAAGGTCGGCACGTTGACGAGTGTCTGTGTCTGTGCATGTGTGTATTTTCAGGTTACAAGTACGACGGTGGTCGTGAGGGCATTGTCTGGTACAGAGTAGTGAGCTTCAATCAGCTGTGGCAGCTCATCGGCTCCGCCAAAGACACCGACACATATAAGGTGAGCCACACAGCACAGCGGAGCGCAGCAGCACCCATCTCTCCGTCTCACGCACATTCCTCCTTCCTGCCTTCAGTTGGTCCGCGGCAACACGATGATGGGCGTGTACCAGAATGAGAAGTTCGACGTGTACATCGACATCTCCGCCATCCCATCACTCGGCGAGATTTCCCTCACTGACGTCAACAACCAGCAGCAGATCGACATCGGCTCGGCCGTCACGCTCACCGAGCTGCGGGCATTCCTGCTGGAACACGACAAGCGGCGCGGGGAGCT